AAAGGGCACAGAAAGATAAAAGATCTAACAGACGTATTTCCCGTTGTTTCTTTTGGTTTAGGATGGTGGCCAATATTCATCACCGCGGCGGCACCATGAAGCTTCTTTATACACAGGCGACGGTCCGGCACCAAGAGGGGTTACTCATAGCAATGGCATGACATACATCCGATATCGCCAGTGTGCTCAGCCGGAGCTGATGATCATCACACGGTTCTGGACCTTCGATAAGATGCCGACGGCTGTTTTGCATCTTCTCCGTGGTGGAAGTGTTCGCACAGATTTCGTGATCCTCTCGGCCTCGATGGGATGTGGGGATTGCGTGGTTCTGGGGTCAATGGTGTCATCCACATAAAGCAGCCAGTCGTTTGCGGGGAAATGCTACAACTGCTAATGCTCCGAACTCTGACAATCATGTCACCTCCTGTTGGGAATATAGGTATTGGTACTAAGAGATGGACACGCCATCTAGAGATGTAATGATGTACAGGCACGTTCCAAGGCTAAGGTCCAGATGGGGATTTGGCACCGATACCCGGATCGTTTCATCAGTCCCGACCACCGGCCGCCAGTGTACCTAAAGATATACCACCTTTATCTTTTTCAAAGATGAGTGCTTTGCGATGCTCGCCCTCACCGGTTTGGAATCCTCAAGCCATCCATTCGAAAGCGTTGCGGATGCTTGGCGCGCTGGCGTCAAATATGTGGACGATGGCGAGCGAAGACGCCATAAAAAAGCGTCTCGTACTGGTTCAGCGACTTGTGCACGGAGCGACAACCACTAGGCCAGGCCAATGAGATAAGTTGTTACATATCGACTTGTTGTCAGCTGTTTATGAGTTGCAGAGTAGGTCATTTTGAATCTAGCTAGAATGTATGACAGTTGCAGCGATTTACTTATCAGGTTCGCTCCATTGGTCCCTTGCTCTATCCTGGGAGAGCACGTAGCACCAAATGCTCATTCGCGTCAACAGTCCTCGCTCGTCAAAAGTCGACAGAGAGTCCACTAGCTCTGCTACCGCTGCATCGTATCGTGCTCGATTTTCAGGCCAGCGTTGAATGTGGCGTTTCAATCGAGTGATTGATCCGGGATGCCTGACAGAGGTGTGCGGTTGATCATGTGGCCGTCATCAGGTCAGGGGCCTCAGCACGCCATCGTCGCGTCAAGCGACGTGTTGCACCCCGCTGGCCGTGACCCCGCGGTCTACTCGATCCTGGTGCAAGTCCACATCAGCCAGAGCATTCGAACTTTTGTAAATCTCGTGAATTTTTATTTTCCGTCAAGGTCATCGGTTGATGTATATGACAAACCCGTGTAATTCGCCTATCATTTCTTTAACTCAAGTAGACACCTCTCCAGACGCGCGACATCAACATCGAGGAGTCAGCCTACATGAAGTGGTATCAAGATGGCGACCGTCTTGACAAGAAACAAGACGAAGATCAGTAAATACGGCACGACGGAGGAGACAACTTCGCTTCTGGCCATCGATGTCGCGCCCCTGGGTGCACCCATAGACGAGAAGCGCTTTTGGTTCCAGCGAAGGAGCAACTACGACCCAGATGCCATCGCAACCCAAGTACGACGCCCCACGATCCGTCCTGTAGTGGCTCATTGATGCTCATACAGAGTCTAGGCGAGCGTGTTCGATGACCCCGACACAGCGGACCGCTACGAACCCCACCCCGAATGGTGAATAGTCTCATTCCCGCAACCAACGGTACGCGAATCGATGGCGAAGCTCACAGTCGTGCAGGGAGAACATTCATCGATTTGACCCGTCGGCTCGTTGGTCATGGGGGGAGGAGCACAGCCTCGTTCGCAAGATCGACTGGCGTATCATGGTCTGGGCCTGCATCATGTTCATGGCACTCGAGCTGGACCGCGCAAACATCCAGCAGGCTTTGACGGACAACTTCCTGGGCGATCTGGGCATGACCACGAATGGTAAGCTAGCTCACAGCTCCAGTGAAGCGTTCTGACCCAAGATACAGATTACAACCTTGGCAATACCATTTTCAAGCTTAGCTTTCTATGCGCCGAATTACCCTCTCAGCTACTTTCCAAATGGATCGGGCCCGACAGATGGATCCCGGCGCAAATGGTTCTCTGGAGCCTGATTGCGAGTACTCAGTTCTGGCTCTCTGGCCGGCATTCGTTCCTGATATTCAGAGCCTTGTTGGGAATGTTGCAAGGCGGTTTCATCCCTGATGTGAGTTCCCCATCAGATGCTTGTGCCCAACGATACTGACCGAGACGAGGTTATCCTGTATCTTTCCTATTTCTACAAACACCATGAGCTCTCGCTTCGACTTGGCTTCTTCTGGACGGCGATGAGCCTTGCAGACATATTTTCGGCGCTTTTTGCGTCGGGGATCCTACATATGAGGGGCGTGAACGGTCAGGCTGGGTGGCGATGGCTGTTCCTTATTGAAGTATGTTTCTCTCTGAGCCAGTCGTCATCCATGTGCATCACTAAATTCCGCCCAGGGCCTCATTACATTCGTGGCCGGAGTATTCGGCTTTCTCCTGATGCCGGCCGGCCCGTGTCAGACAGCGAGCTGGTTCCGTGGAAAACAGGGCTGGTTCTCCAAGAGGTACCTTTCAAGTGATTAGCAGTCCGCGTGGCCCTTTGACTGAAATCAATCATCTAGAGAAGAGATCATCATGGTCAACAGGGTTTTGCGAGAAGACCCGGGGAAGAGCGGAATGCATAATCGCGAAGCCATCACGCCTCAGCTCCTCTGGAACAGCCTTAAAGACTTTGATCTCTGGTATGTTTGTCGAGGGCCGAGTTCAAAGTCATTTCGTCTTCTGACAATCCACCAGGCCCATCTACCTCATCGGCCTGACGTTCGAAATCCCAATGGGTCCACCAAAGCTCTATCTGACCCTGACACTGCGTAGCCTGGGCTTCGATACCTTCCAGTCTAACCTCCTCAGTATCCCCTACACCCTTGGCCATAGTATGTCTCTCTGTCTCGATTCTCCCGACCCCGACCACTGCTGACTCAATTAGTGATCATGATGCTGGGCCTCACCTACATCGGCGAGATTTTCAAAGAGCTCTCCTACGTGTCAATGATCGGCCAAGTCTGGGCCTTGCCGCTACTCATTTTCCTCAACATTGTCAACACGGACGAGATCAACAGGTGGCTCTTCTACTTCGTCATCATCCTACTGTTGATGTATCCCAATCGTGAGCACAAAGCGTCCTGTTGTAGATACGTCCATTGTTAACCGCGCCTGCAGCCCATCCAATCCAAGTAGGCTGGAACTCGCGCAACTCGGGCTCAGTCCGGTCCAGAACAGTCTCGGCGGCGTGCTACAACATGTTCGTCAAGGCAGCGGGATCATATGAAT